GCTTCTCTAAAGTCTCTTTCTTGCTACCTCCTCAAAGAAGATGCAGTCGCTCATATTTCCAGTACCCAGTGTATTCGCTCATGCATAGACTAATAATGAATACAATGAAAACAGCCAGCTTCTGGCTAGTTCCTGCTGATGCAGGCAAGGTCAGATGGTGTCTAATAGCCATGGTACCACCTTTGATTTGTACCGGATTTGTAAAGAACTTTCACATAAGTATTTCCACTTCTATTTCAACACAAGGCAATTGAGGTCCCCAGGAGTCAAGATAGGGACCAAAGTCACTCAGCTAGTAGGCGATGGTGCTGAAATGTGCACCTTGGGGTTTTTTTTTATGAGACCCACTCAGCTTCCTTCAGAGAGTGGAATCTCACACAGCGGATGAAACCCTCGTTTTAGTGGACCAGGCAATAACTTCTTAGCAGACAGAAAAGATATTTCCTGGTGTGAGGGCTTTGCCTTCTTCACCCAGGTGAGAAGCTGACCCTGGTGTGAATAGTGATGACCTTGATTGTGGTTACAGGGCTTTGGAGGGACTCCTCACATATGCAGTTCCCTGAATTCTTATATACAATGCAGTGTTAAGATCATGAACTCTGGGATCAAATTGACCTGAGTTCAAATTCTGATAAGCTAGTGCCAGCTGTGTTACCTTGGGCAATATACTCTCAAAGCTGTACTTCTTCACTTATAAAATGGAATAAAATGAACACATATCTTACAGGAATGTTGTGGCTGGCTAATCAATTTGTAGGCTCCAGTGCAAACCGAAAATATGGAGTTTTTAATTCAAAAAGAGAAGAAGGCAGGCTCTGGTGGCTCATGCCTGTAATCCCAGCACTTTGGGAAGCTGAGATAGGTGGATTACTTGAGCTCAGGAGTTTGAGATCAGCCTGGGCAACATGGTGAAACCCTGTGTCTACAAAAAATACAGAAATTACCCAGGCGTGGTGGTGCATGCCTATAGTCCCAGCTACTGGGTGGCGTGGTGGGGATGCTGAGGGGGAAGGATCCCTTGAGCCCAGGGAAGTCCAGGCTGCAGTGAGCCATGATGGCACCACTGCACTCCATCCTGGGTGAGAGAATGAGACCTTGTCTAAAAAAAAAGAAAAAGAAAAAGTAAAAGCTTTTTCCTTTTGTCCACAGTGTCATTGGCCTGCCATGGTGTTTTTATTTGCTATTTAATGTTTTGCTCCCTCAGACATGGGGATAGTTGCCAGGTAAGTGCAGGCTCTTATAGGTACCTGGGCCCTACCTAAGTGCACTGGGCCACGGGGGAACCGAGGCTCCATGTCCCAGCACGTGTTTCATTGTCCCATTGGACTTCCCTTAACAAATTGGAATTCAAAGATGAAATTATTAAACACTTCAAGATGGGACCACAGAGATTAAACCCCCAAACGTTGGCCTTTCTGAGTGTGGTCTTGAATGCCTGTACTGGTTGCATATTCATGAAGGCAGACCTGAATATTCCTGCAAAACATTTAGCACAGTCTCTGCCCACAGTAAGGACTCAGTAAGTGGTCGGTAGAGAGAGTCAATTTTGCTCGCTCACTGGTCACCTTAGGAATCTCATAGCTCAAGCCTTCACTTGAGCTTTGCACCTCCAGCCTGGCTCAAGGAAGAGGCAGGGAAGGTATCATTATTGCCTTTGTACAAATGGGAAAACTGAGACCCAGAGAGGGAATGGGTCTTGGCTACATTCAATCTGCAGTTCATAACAGAGGCAGAACTGAATGGTGATTTCTAGACTCTCAGTCAGTGCTAAGCATCCCAAGCTGGGGACCTATTCTGGACTTCAACAGTGGGTAATTCTGAGTGGCCACAGCATCTGTCAGGGACTGCCTCCTCTGCCCAAGCCCCTAATGTAGCTTTCCAAACCCTGGCTCAATACCAGCCTCCTCCAGAAAGACTTCCCTGCCAAGAAGCTCCCCAGAGTATTTTTTCCTTCATATGCACATTTATCCAAAATTTATTCATATGGAATGTAGTTTATTCCCTGTGTTTCTTACATTACCAAACATTATGAGCGTATTTGTCTAATAAGACAATAATATTTTGAACCTTATTTTTAATAGCTTTATATTTCATTTTTAGAGAAGCTCTACTTTATTTGACCAATCCTTTTGTAGGACACTCAGGTGGTTTCTAATTTTTGGTTCTTATTTTTCAGTTGGTTCTTATTTTTCAGTTACTACAGGGAAATGTACCAAGTTCTTAAGAGCATGTGCTCTAGAGGCAAACTGTCTGGGTGTAAATCTAGGTTAGATGTGTGAACTTGAGCAAGTAGTTCACTTCTTGGAGCCTCAATGTCTTTGCCTATAAACTCAGAATATTAGTGAGGATTAAATAAGTTAACATATAAATAGCATTTAGGAAATGAAATGAGTAAGTGTCATATATGTGTTAGCTAATATTCTGTTATCTCTATTACTTTGATAATGCTGTAGTTGATACCATTTTACATACATCTTTGAACATATAAGTGAGTATTTCCCAGAAGTTGCATTACGGGATCTGAGGAATGAGTGTTCTGAAGGTTGGCATGAAATGTCTCCACAATTTATGGAAGCTCCCTGAAGCTGACAGGGAGATCAAAGGGGCTGAGGTTGGGGTGGGGTTTAAGATTAAGCCCCAGGCTTTGGCTGGGAACATTTGTCATGATGTGAGTGTGATGCATGGGACATTTGTACATCCAGTTTTTCCACTTCGGGGCTGAAAACAGGAAGGATAGAGAGTATAAAATCCTTCCAGAGCACCCGAGAAAGCATCTAGCAGGTTAGCAGAGACAGCAGTTTGCTCTCTAGCTTCAGAATGGTTAAGTGGGTATTTTTCTCTGTAGTCTTTCTTGGTTCCTGCCATGCTAAGGAATTTGGGCCTTGGATCCATGGGAGTTGAGATGATATTGAATGGGATCATTGAGTCGCAGGCAGCCAAGGATCTGTGATAGGGCTGCCACTTTGGGTATAGGAACAGGGAGGATTAACGGCTGCTTTTGTGGTTTGCCTGCCCCCTAGTATCTCCTTTGTCAACAGCCGTCCATGATGAATTTATAGCTTAAAAAAGCAATTTGTTTTTATGATGTCCTTTGTACAATGCAAATACCCAGGGAAGATATATATTTCACAGAATGAGAGAGTCATAGAATTTGAGAGATGGAAGGGAACAAATTCCATCCAATAATTATTTTAGAGCAGACATTCTCAAACATTCCTTGGTGGGTCAGAATCCTACATGAGAATCACCTAAGGGCTTAAAAAGGTAGGTTCTTAGGCCCACACTTAGTCTGATTTAGGGTCTTGAGTGGGTCACAGGAATCTGCCTCTTTAAGAATCCTCCCAGGACACACTAATGCAAGTGGGTTACACTTCGAGGAACTTTGTTTTATAACATTCCCAGCAGTTGGTTACTTCTAGTGTTGGGGGCTCACTACTTTGGGAGACAGCCAATTCCTATTTTAGAATAGGTCTGACTATAATAAAGTTATACTTTATATGGAGCTGGAGTCTGCCTCTATATAAATTCCACCCACTGGTCCCAATTCTACCTACTAGGGTCACATGGAGAAGGTCCAATTTCTCTACCCTTGGATGGGCAGTGAGAACTGATATTTATACACCATGAGAGTTTGTGAGTCAAAGGCAAGTTAGAAGAGAGCACCTATACCTCTGAGTCGGCTGTGCTGTGAGAAACTCATCTCTCGTTCTGTTCTTTTTTTTTGAGATGAGGTCTCACTCTGCCACCCAGGCCGGAGGGCTTTGGCACCATCTCGGCTCACTGCAGCCTGAACCTCCTGGGCTCAAGCCATCCTCACATCTCAGCCTCCTGAGAAGCTGGGACTATGGGCATATACTACTGAGCCTGGCTAATTTTTGTGTTTTTTTGAGAGACAGGTTTTACCATGTCATCCAGGCTGGTCTTAAACTCCTGGATTCAAGTAATCCACCCATGTTGGCCTCCCAGTGTTGGGATTACAGGCGTGAGCCACTGCACCGGGCCGTGTGTCACCTGCTCACTGGGCATGGATGCCTCCTTCCAAACTCGGGCTGAGTGGTCTTCAGATCAGAGGGCAGACTCCCTGTGGAGGAGGAAAGGAGTGATTGGGAGAGTCAAGGGGGCTATGAACTGATTCCTGTGATCCAGGGATGCCGGGGAGCTGAGCAGATGCACAGCCAGGTGCGGAACCTGGGTTCTTCCCTGAGTTCTCCAACTCCCTAACAGATTCTGAGCACCTCCCTACCTCCTTGGGCCTCAGTTTTCCCTTATATAACTGTTCTTCCAGTCCTCACCATCTGCTGTCACATTTTTAATGCCCTGTGCTCTCTGCTCTGGGCAAGTTTTCTGGTGAAGGTGGCAGGGGGAGGTGTCAGCATTCTTAGGAAAGAATAAAACAATCCAGGCTGAGGAGGAACACACTTACTCATCCAGCAGAGCTGTGCTTGTGGAGTTCAGGGCTGGGTGGATGTATGAGGAATGGAGGTGCAGACTCTAGGTGGCTGTCATCCCTCCTCTGAAATAAGGTATCAGGGCTGCGGGTCCCTGGAGCCTGTGCTCCCCGGGCTGGAGGGACCCTCCCTGCGGGGGGCCTGTCTGTGGCGCACCATGGCAAAGCCTTCCCTATGGAGGGGAGCCCTTCAGACTTGTGGGCTCTTTGAGGCCAAGGCCTTGATGAGGGAGACATAGGACAGGAGAACAAGGAGGTATATGCAGCTTCAAAGCAGCCTGATTCTGTACCCCACCCTGGGCCTGACCCAACTCTGTCTTTTGTCGGGAGATATCTGCAGAACTCTGCAACCGCCGACTCCCTGTGAGTACTTGGGAAATCCCTCTAACCTCTCTGAGCCTCCATTTCTTCATTTATCAAAGGGGCTAACAATGTGTATCTCGTAGGACTGATGTGCTCCTCAGGTAAGATAATGTTCATGAACCAGCTCTCTATATTAGAATGTCCCAGGAAGAGGTCAGCTGCTATTATTCTTTGTTCTCAGGTTGATGTACACAGAAGCAATACATCTCAGTTGAGACGAATTCTGTCCTAAAGTGTGAGTTCCTGTGTTCCTGCTTACATGAGACTTTTTTCTCTGTATCCTAGGCATGTCCTTCAGGGGGCTGTGACTTCGGGTGCAGTGGGAGAAGGGGCCTTATCAGCAGGAAACTATCTCCAGAGTTTCCAGAAATCTGGATTAGGATCTACAGAAAATGTGGTCTATCAGGTAGTCTGGAACTACAGATAAACAATACTGGGGTCAGAGGCCATGTCAGCTATGAGCAGAAATAAATGGTCACTGGGGAACTTACATCTGTAAATTGCTGAATTTCAGATGCACTAGCTCATGTATACCATATGTACATGCATCATCTGGTTACGCTCATGTCATTTCATTATACCAGGTGGCCACGCATCCATTCCAATAGCCCACAGGAGCCCCAAAGGCTGACCCCAGGCTGTGCAGTGCTTAGCAGGGGCTCCGGGTCTTTCCTGGGATGTTCTTAACTACAGCGCCACCAGTCAGTGTTGATGTGTGAGCTGGGATGTTTCCCTCATTCATAGTCCTGCCCTACTTGGCAGGACTGGGAGAGAGTCTGAGGTTCTCGTCCAATGGCACCAGTTTTCTTGTATCATTTTAGAAATGTCTTCCTCCTTCTGTGGACCTCAGTTTCTTCTTCTGTAAAATGGGTTCCTAATCCCTTCCCTGCCCACCTTGGAAAGTGGCAGTGAGGCTCTAATTGAATAATATAATAGATGTGAAATTGCTTTGAGAAAGCTGAAAAAACCCTATACACGTATAAGAGAGAGGAGAGGGAGGATGGGAGGTGGATAAAGAGGAAGCAGATCCTGGTCACTGCAGGTCGTGTTGTCAAGCCAGCCTCTCATCTGAGCCTGTTTTTTCTCCACCGTCCCCTTCAGGGTGTGGCAAAGACGATTACAAGAAGGTGCAGCAGAAAGAGAAGGGGAAGCTGAAGAGTGACCTCCATGGGGAGCAGCGGAGGTGGAGCACGTGGTGAGTCTCCTGGATCCCCACTGGGTCAGAACAGTCAGGAGGTGAGGCTCACTGGTCATAGCCAGCAGCCCGTGTGGATGTCTTGCTGCAGTGACTGCGCTGCCTAGGTTGGGCTGATCCTAGTAAGCAGGTGTCCTGGGAGGAGGAGAAGCTGGCTTTGCTCAGGAATAAGAGGACTCAGGAACAGTGCTGTTGGCCATCTGTGAAGTGACTTTGGTGCTTCATGAATAAGCCAATCAACCTTAAATGGCTATAGGGATGGTTTTAAAACCTACCTATAGAAATTAACAAGTTGGGCTGAGAGGCCTGGGAAAAGGGACTGTGGTTTCACAGGGCAGTGGTGACTTTATGGCCACTGTTCCTTTCTCCAGAGCTGAGGAACTCAGCTGCTGATTCCGAGCAGAGTTGGGGAAAGAGTCCCTGCTCCATCAAAGAGTCATTTGTCTAAGTCCGGTGTCTAAGAAGTGGTATTCCCAGATAACATTCTCCTTTCTGTCTGGACACGTATCTTCCAAGGAAAGACCTCTTTAACCTGTGTCATTGCCTTCCGGTTAGAGCAGCTTTGGAGATGTCCTAAAGCAGGAAAAGTTAGTTTGCCCCGTCCACTCCCATGGATTTTTTCTGGTTGCTTCTTTCTCCTCTATCCTCTCCTTTCAGCTCCTCAATGCCTGGGGCCCTCTCCCTCCTTCTACCTTTATCACACTCTCTGGAAAGTATCTGATAGCAGCTGTTTATATTTTAGGGTGAATTAGGTTAAGACCATAGGCTTCTAAAAGCTATTGTCAGAATTTGGACTAAAGTATCTGTTTCCCCAGTGCCGTGTTTCCTTCACTGCCCCAGGTCATACTTCTCTGTCATTGCTTCTCAGTGTAGCTCCCCATAATGACTTGTTTTCCTGTTTAGTGCCCTGTGCATGTTCCATACCTAGCTGGGTCTGGAGAAGGGGGAGGTCCTCTGAATGCAGTAGGGGCTCCAGATATGGTGGGAGAACCTAGCGTAGCCCCAGGACCCTCATGTGGACATGGTGTCTCCCTGGAAGAAGGACAAAGGCAGTGAGAGGGACGGCAGCAGCAGTGACAAGGAGCTGGCAGGAGTGCTGGTAAAAGGCACCAGACTGTGGTCTTGGACCCAGTACTCAGAGCACAGGGAGAAACTGAGTCCTGAAGGGTGAAGGAACTTGCCAGAGGTCATGTCAGGAGTCATAGCAGAGCTGGGTTGGGCCCTAGAGCTGCTAAATCCCAGGGCAGAAGTGAACTGAGTGGGGAGGCATAGGATAAGCTCTGGCCAAAGGGCTGATGCCACCCCAGGGTGGGTGGAGGGAGTGCTCAGCGTCACACAGGGAATCAGAGCAGGGTCAGACTCAGACCAGGGTCCCTTGACTGCCAGCACAGTGCTCCTTCCACTGCCCTAAGCAGCCTGAGTTTTCTGAGCTTGAGTCTGGAACCTCTGTCTAGAAGGAAGCTTTGGGTCTCTCTAGAGAACCATCTATACCTGTGAAACAGACACTGTAGAATTACACGTGGGACCACAGGGATTGGCGTGGTCTACAGGGAGGTGGAAAACTCCCTGGCTGGGAACTGAAGCTGGGTCTTGAGAAGTCTGCAGGAGAGGGCCAGGGGCATTAAGGGACAAGGGGAATGGAAACGGCATGGGAGTGGAAACTAAATTCTGGAGACATTCAGGGTGTGAAGAAGTAGAATTGGAGGCCAGGGCCTGGGACTCCCATGACCTCCCTGGGAACCTCCACATGCCTTGGCCATGTAACCTCCACCAGTCCCCTCTGGCCTCATCTTGGTAAAGTTTGATTTTTTTTCTGCTTGTCATAGAAAAATAGAAAGTGATCATCAAGAAAAAGAAGGAATGCTTCCATTCACTGCTGGAAGCAGTTGACAGGGGGGTTGGAGCTCAGGAGGGATTGGAGAAGGGGCAGTGAAGGGGAGAGGGAGTACAAGAGGAATGGTTACACAACAAAACTGTCCACTTACACTAGCCATGCCTTTTGTGTCCATTTTGGTTTTATCACTTCATTTAGGTCATTTTGACACATATCTCAGTAATAACAAAACACCAATGTTTATTGAGCACCTACTATATGACAGTCATGATGCTCAGAGCTTTAATCTCAATTATTTAATGTAACCCTCAAAACAACCCAACAGGTCTGCAGTATCATCATTCTACATTACAGATGAGCCAATAGGTTTGGAGACCTTAAGAGACTTACCGAAAGTCAACACAGCTGTGGGGTGGGTGAGGGGAGAGGAGAGCTTCAGATCTGGCTGTTTGACCATGTTGCACATCCATACTCCCACCTGGTTCACTTCCAGGTCCGCTGAGTCTTGCTCAGGGTCCTCCATAAAGGCAGGTGATTTTGAGCCATTATCTCAGAGCTGCAGGTTTATGAAAAGCCAGGGAAGGACTTGGGGTGTGTGAAGCCATTTACAGGAACTCAGGTGTTCTGATTGACTAACCTGGCTCTTCTAACTGCTGGCTCCCTTCCCCAGTCCCCACCAGCCTAATATAAATGAGTTATAACTAGATCCAAGCATTTTGGTATGAACTCAGCTTGACCACAATCCTGTAGCATAAGCAGAGTAGAGTAGGGTAGAAAGATACTGTCTGGTCTCAGGGGCGGGAGATGAGTTCTGGTTCCCAGCCCTGCCCCTGAGCAGATGGGGGACCTTGAGTACATCTCTTACTGCCTTTGTGGCTTTAGTTTCTGCACTGTAGCCCTAAGATTAAAAATTCTACAAATAAAACTGTTTTGGATTCCAGGGCGTTTGGCTCCATCTTCTGGTCAGTTTTTGTCACTGTAGCTTTTTGCAGCATTGCCTGCCATCCACTGTGACCTGAGAATTTTGAGGCTTCTAGGAAACATTCTATCTGTGGTGGGTGGGAGGTGGAATAGGACAGCAACAGAGTTATCCTAAAAGTTTAGGGAATTTCTGTGGTCTTTAGGTCATATTGGCTCAAGTTATTCAGCCTTCTTTTGATAATGGCTCAGCAGAGGGTCAGGGAGGCAGCCAGTGATGGACTAGCCCATGTGTTAGAGGAGGAAGGTACATTGGAGACCAGTGAATGTAACCTCCCCAATGTACAGATGGGGAAACTGAGGCAATCTTCACCTGTGGAGAAGCCAAGTCTTGCTCCAGGTCACACATGTAGGTTCCAGGTTTCCTGACACCGAAATCCATACTGTCCCCCACTCTGTCTTGCTGCCTCCTCTTTCTCCCAGCTTTCTATCCCAGCTGATTACCTCTTCCCCTTGCTTCTGAGACAGTGCCATCTGCCTAACAAGCACACTGCTCCATCCACTTGCTACCACAACCCACTTCCTCCTGGTCCCAGCTCCAGCCCTGGTGAGGTGGAGTGCTCCCCTCCCGCACGCCCCTCTCTCCAAGTCACAGCTTTCCTGGAGGAATGAGGACATGGAAGGAAGCGGGAGGCAGAGGCCCACATTCTCCTCCAGCTCTGCCCTTTTTCCAGCCTAGCCTCTTGGATCTTTAGTCTCTCCATCAGATACACAATCAACTCCATGAGATTACTGAGATTAAATGGATGGTTGGTGTGAAGGTGCTTTGTGAATTCTTGAGCCCCCTGTTAAAGTAGGAATTTCAGCTATGTCTGGGTTCTTCTTAAGCCACATAAAACCCCAGGTGCTGATTGGTACAGACTTAGCCCAAGTGCTATGGATCCTTAGATGGGGGAGATGCATGGAAGCTGGAGGAATTTGAAGGCTTCAACGAGAGGGTAGTACTTTATCTTCCAGCCCAGAAAGTATCTTGGAGGCATTCCCATTAACCCAGAGTCCAGTCTTTAAAAGCTCAGCTGTAATGGAAGAGGCAGAGGAGCATTAATTGACCCTTGTATTCTCCCTTCTCTTCTCTGGAGATAAGATGTATGGCCTCTAGTTTAAAGAGTGAGGCCCAGAGAAAGAGGCAGACATTGAAACCTTTCCCCACTTGGATCTTGAGCTCCCAATGCAGTCTTGTTTCTGTTAGAACTTCAGAGTGCTGGAGAAATAGAGAACGAGAAGGGTAGCCCTGCCTTTCTTGTGTGCCCTCAAAGGTGGGAGAAGACTGCCCTCCACAGAAAGCCCAGTTCCTAGTAAGGCAGCTCTAATCCTTTGAAAAGTCTCACTCAGCATTTCTCAAAGGTGGTTCTGAGACCCCTTGCACCAGAGTCACTGGGGGTGACTTACTGAATCAGACCATCTGGGATGGGCCTGGAAATCTGCACCCAAAACAGCCTCTGCGGATGAGGCACGTTGAACTTCAGGAACCATAGATCCCCTTCTCTGGCATCCCAGGGATAACAGCCCACTGCCCTAGAGACAGTTCTTACCAACTCTTGCTTACAGGACATGATTTTCTCTTTTTTAAATGTTCTGCTCCCTTGCCATTTTCCACGTTCTTTGTTTTTCCCAGTCTCCATTCCTTTTGTTTTGTTTTGTTTTTTTGTTTTTTTTTGAGTCAGAGTCTCGCTCTGTCACCCAGGCTGGAGTACAATGGTGTGATCTTGGCTCACCGCAACCTCCACCACCTAGGTTCAAGCAATTCTCCTGCCTCAGCCTCCCGAGTAGCTGGGATTACAGGTGCCTGCCACCATGCCTGGCTAATTTTTGTATTTTTAGTAGAGACAGGGTTTCACCATGTTGGCCAGGCTGGTCTCGAACTCCTGACCTCAGATGATTCAGCCCTTGGCCTCCTGAAGTGCTGGGATTACAAGCATGAGCCACTGCACCCGGCCTCTATACCTGTTTTGTAAGTAGAACATCATAGAGTTTGGGGGGCTAGAAGTATTTGTAACAGAGCACCTTATCCAATTCCTCATTTTCTAGCTGGAATATTTTAGACACAGCAGGGTAGTCCCTGGCCTCAGACCACACAGTGCTAATAGAAGACCTAATCACCTGACTTTGAATTGAATACTCTTTTCACCATGCAGTTCTGTCCTGCTGTAGGAGCCACACTTTAGGGTGAGTGTCCACCCCAGACCCGTTCTTAGATGAAGGAATGGTCCCCTGAAGCTACCTTGGTGTCACATGACTCTCCTTGGCTGAAACTGTTAGGCCAGGAATGGTCATCTTGAAAGGGAGTTATCACTGGGCATTGGAACTAACAGGTCAAGTCGACTCCAGGGTTGAGGTGGTAATTTTATGTCTCTCACCACCTTGAGGATTGAGGTGGTGACAGAAAGGATGAGGATGGAGAGAGGGAGATGGAGAGAGACAGGGAGAAAATCACACACATTCAACAGGGAGAAAGACACAGAGACACACACACAGAGACAGGGAAACAGAGAGAAAGACACAGAGAGAGACACACACAGAAACACAGACACACACACATAATAGGGGAGGAAGAGAGAGACACAGAGGAAGCAAGAGACTGAAGAAAGATGGGGGGAGGAGGCAAAAAGGGAAAACACATTCACAAAGAGATGGAGAGAGACAAAGCAATATAAGCACAGGCACACAGGGAGAGAGGGACTGGAATAGAGAATCCAGATTGATTCAGAGAGAAAGAGATAATGAAAGAGAAAAAGTCAGAGAGCCAGAGACAGAGCACCTGCCCTGGCACTGGGTGTTTTTCCGGTTTTTCCCAAGGCCCAGCTGACCTTCCTGCTTTTGCCTTCTCCAAGATACCCCCAAATCTTCCCAAGAAACTCTTTGACTCTTGAGCGGCCTCAGTAGGCTTCTTTCTCTTGCAAAATCATGGTTCTCAACCAACCCAGCCTGGGAGGGACTTTGAGGAGAGGCCCTCACAGATACACCGGGGAAGCAAATGTTGCAAGCTGGGGAAGCAAACGCTGCATTCTGCTCAACAGATCGTCTGTCACTTCTCATTACCTCCAGGACCTGGAGATGACTCTATTCCTCGGCCAAACATCAACAAAGCCGCCAACTCCCAGTGGTTGGTTTGGTGTCTTGTCAACAGCAATCTTCTTGGAACAAACTCTCTGCCCACATGGAGCAGAGTTAATGAGGCTTGGGCTGTGCTCATGGGCACCTGCAGGCCTTTGCTGACTGATGCTCTTCCTGCCCCAGGACTGCACTCACCTTCCTCTCTGCTCATGCTTGGCCCAGCTAACCTTCCCACTCCCAGTGACCCCGCGCAGCCCACACGAGTCCTTCCCTTTCCAAACTTTCCTAGTGCCTACTGTCTCTCTTCTGTCCTTTGTCCATTTTGCTCCATAATTATGCACATAAAAGACTATATTACTAAGTCATAAGATCCTCAAGTTACCATGTGCATGGAAAAGGAAATCACTAAATTCATATCTTTTCAGATAATAAAGGCCATTAACAATAGGGAAGGTTATTTGGATGCTGCGAATCTTTCAGGTGCTGATCTAAGCACTTGTTACTTAGTAACTCATTTGATCCTCACAATTGTTCACAGAACAGACACCTAGGGCCCAGAATAGTTAAGAAACTTGCTGAAGGTTAGATCTTCAGTAAATGACCGAGGATAAAGATTTCGTGGCCCTGTTCTTCTGCTTTCCCATGTCGCTGGCCAGAGCCTCAAAATCTGCCATTGTAATTTTGTCCTTTTACTTTAAGGCTGCAATTCCTATAAAGTATAGATTTATTTTTATTTCATTATTTATTTATTTATTATTTTTTCTGGCAGAAGGATAGCTGAGGAAAAGAAGGAAGGGAAGGCTTCCCAGATCATCGTAAATTACCTCCTTTAGAGCTAAAATGTCTGAAAAACCAGCTCCTTCCCATTTTCTAACTGTGACCACTGGAACACTAGTTTCTTGAGATGTTAAATAGGTTTTATTAAAGAAAAATAAAGCTGTCAAGTAAGTGTGAGAAACTGGAAGTTAAACAGTTGCCTTGCAGCGTGACCTCACAGAGCCTTAAGATGCTGGAGGCACTGTGTGCCTATAAGAAGGAGAGAATTGTATTCAGCGCACACATTTCACCACAGGCTCTGTTCTTGCAGATCACCTCTCAAAATTAGTTCCTTTTTCATGAAAGTTTCTTTGAGAAAGCACTGTCTGAACCCGTTAGATAACCAAGTCAGCACTGCCCACAATCGCTCAGGGTTTTTAGGGCTCCCTGAGGATGGATACCTGGCTCCCCTTCACTGGCATTTGGTGGGCTTGCCTGCTGCTGGTGTCTCAGGTAGACAAGTCTGACTGAAGCAAGCCACCCGCATGCTGTGGCTTGGATGGCTTGTCGCCAACCAGCTGCTTTTACACGGTCAGGACCATGGAGCTTGTCCTTGCTTGACTTCCCTGACTCACTCAATGACTCACTCATTGCTTTAGAAACTGTTACTAGCACCTACAAGGTGCTAGACCCCGGAGGGATCCCCGAGGGAATCAAAACCTACTCCTGGACTGGGATCTGTTTGGGTGGACAAGATGAAGACACAGGGAAGCGGGAGAGGACAAAGGGAGGATGCAACCACAGAGAAGGGAAAGCTCATTTCCAGCGGTGGGGATAGGGGGAAAGGTTGGATGCTGGCGGGGGTGGGGGCGGTCACCGAGGAAAGGTCTACTCACAGCTGGGTTTGGGAGGGTGACAAGTGGTAACAGGTAGAGCTTGTGGCTGACAGTGGGCAGGACTCTCCAGGGCAGTGGCAGCAGGTGAGCCCTTGGCAGGTGCCTTGGCCCCCTTGGCCCCTCTGCAGTGGTGGAGAGTGGTGGAGCCTATGGCAGCTGCTGAGATTCTCAGAGCTTGGACGTACCCACTCATTTGACCATCAGGACCCAAGGGAGGAAATGCCCTTCTGTGCTCTCCTCCTCCATGGCCACTCTGCAAACTGGTGAGGGAGGAGGCATTTGTGTCTGGGAATCCGGGAGGTGGGAGGGGCGGGGGTGGGGGGCTGTCCGTCCTCACCATACCCTCAACTGCGGAGGGACTCACAGCCCTCTGTTGAATGAACGGGTGTTCACTCCTGCTCTGAGCCCTTTTCTCCCTGCTCTGCTTTCTTTTTATCCAGCGCCTGGTTTTGGCATCTATCCATGGATCTACTGAAAGGTGAGCTACTCTAGACATCATTTTATTTTCACGTAAAGCTCTTGAAGATCAAAAAAACCCGTGAAGATCCACAAGCCGCTTTTCACACAATCGAGAGTCCTGGAATGTCAGAGTTCAATGAGCATTGAGAGGGTGCGTTGACATGCAGAATGGTGGCTTCTCAGGCCCCGTAACAAACAGAGGGTGAACCAGGAGTGGAGGCAGCCTTCTATGCAAACACTTCTAGGCAATGTTGTAAATAATACAATTGTGTATCAGAAAGAACACAGATTCTGAAATCCAGCTTGCTTCATGTTCCAGTCTCACTTATGGACTGTGTGAGCTTGGTTAGGATTTTCTCAAGCCTTTGATTCTGTCTCTGTAGAATGATGATGTTGTTGTCTATCTAAAAAGATGATTGTTTTACATGAGATAAAGCAGATGAAGGTGCTGTGTGAATGAAGCAGTGAACACGCTGCCGTTGCATGAGGGAAATGACTCTCCCATCTGGTGTTTTAGACCTGGAGCCTTCTGACCACACGTTCTCAAGGATTTTTAGTTTCTTGCTTGCTCCACATTCTTTCTCATGTTGCTCTGAAACCTGCCTCCCGGTCACACCCCCACCCTCTCCTACACTGGGTTTTAATATTTTCTTCCTGAGCCTTTCTCTGATACCATAGCCTTCCAGATAACCTTAAGTGAGCCACATAAGCTCTCTGAGATCTGGTTTCCACATCTGTAAGACAGGCTTACTCTTTGTTCTCAACTATTTGTTGAGATTTTGCAGATGAAATGAGATAATATATACACATGTATATCATGCACAGGTGACCCTTCACCACCCGAGTTGGAACTGTGCGGGTCCACTTCCACTCAGATGTTCTTTCTCCTCCGCTACTTCTTAGACAGCAAGACCAGTCCCTCTTCCTCCTCTTCCTCCTCCTCCTCAGCCTACTCAATGTGAAGATGTGGATGAAGACTTTTATGATGATCCACTTCCACATAATAAATAGTAAATATTTTTTTCTTCCTCAGCTCACTTTAGAGTAAGAGTACAGTATGTAATACACGTAACACATAAAAATGTGTATTAGTTGGCCAGGCATGGTGGCTCATGCCTGTAATCTCAGCACTTTGGGAGGCCAAGGCGGTTGGATCATGAGGTCAGGAGTTCGAGACCAGCCTGACCAACATAGCGAAATCCCGTCTGTACTAAAAATGCAAAAATTATCTGAGTGTGGTGGCACATGCCTGTAGTCCCAGCTACTTGGGAGGTTGAGGCAGGAGAATCGCTTGAACCCAGCAGACAGAGGTTGCAGAGAGCCGAGATCGTGCCAGTGCACTCCAGCCTGGGTGACAGAGAGAGACTCCATCAAAAAAACCCAAAAAAACAAAAAATGTATTAATGGACTGTTTATGTTATCCGTACGACTTCCAGTGAACAGTAGGGTGTTAGTAGTTAAGTTTTGGGAGGAGTCAAAAGTTAGAGATTTTTGACTGTTTCTGGGATTGGCTCCTTAAACTCCACGATGTTCAAGGGTTAACTGTACTGCAAATAACGTACATGAATAGAAGGCATATAATACAGGTATATGTGTTTCATAGCACAGCGCCAGGTAGGGCTGCTCATTAAATAGCTTGTATTTCTCATTCCATTTCCCTGCTCACACAAGTTGGTATTATTTTTCACTGAGGGTATTGGAGAAGGTTTCCTGGAGCAGGTGAAAATTCAGCTGGGCTTTGAAGGACTGGAGAACGTTTACAAGCATAGAAGAATGGGGATGTGATTGGGTGTGGTGAGGGGAGGTTTGGAACAGAAAAATAAGTGGGAAGTCTCGGGTTTGTTTAGGGAATCAAGAAGAGGCCATTTTGGTTTGAGCTGTTGGTTCACTGGGGGAACCAGAAAGACATAAATTTGAAAGAACAGAGTGCAGTCCTGGAATTAGAAAATAGAGAGTTGGAAGTGACCCAGGGGGTCACTGGCCCAGTCTTTTACCTGCAGCAGGAATGAACATGCGCGACGTGGCAGTAATGATAGCCTAGTCTGAGGCTCAACTCTGCTCTGTGTTCTTCGATAAATTACATGTCATTTCTGATCTGGATTTCTCCTCCGTGTGACAGAAATAATCCTTGACCAGCCTCCTCTGTTATTGTCATGAAACTTTAGGGAGGTTTGGGCTGAGGATTCATTAAGAAGTTGGGCAAGGGACTCCTTTCTCTTCTCTGAGCCTTGATTTTACTGTACACACACACACACATACAAAACAAAAACCCCATCTGCCTCCAGGGTGTAGAGGTTGCGAATGTAGCCAGGTTACAGGCACCCAGGAGGGGAGAGGAAGGCAACCTGGGAGGGCCCCAGGGCAGTGGAGGGGCTGCCATTCTAGGCACAGCCAGGATTCTTTCCCACTCTCCCCACTGGCTTCTACTGTGGGCACAGCTGGAATTCTCTCCTTGCTGCCTGCCTCTTCTTCTTGCTGGGATGGGTCACACAGCGCATGGGTGACCAGCTCCTGATCATCCATCCCTGCACAGGCAGCCCCTGGATGCCCTGAAGGAGCTATGCCAGCTTCTCCTCTTCTCTCCATCATCTCCTTCCATCTCCACCCTGACTTTGGTGGCTTCATCTCTCCTAAGCTCATTCTCAAGGAGAGAGAGAGCCCATGAGGGCAAGTGCCCTGTTATTCTGGACACTCCTGCTTTTTCATGTCAGCATTAGCATCACAGTTTCCAAAGCACCCTCCCTGTGGAGAAGCATGCCAGGCAGGACTCCTGGTCACACTTAGTGGGTGGGAAAATGGAGACAGAGAGGCCGACGGAATGCCCCTGGGAGAGCCAAAGCTAGACTCCTAGCCTGGTGCTCTGACACGACTCTGGAGGCCCTCAAACTTGGAGGGGCATAAGGATTGGGAGTTTGCTACAACGCAGACACCTAGGCTGTCATCCCTAGAGAGCTAATCCACAGCAATATCAGGGGAGGCTGAGCATTTGTGTTTTTGATAGGCACTTGGGGATGGTGACATAAATTAGTTTGAGGACTCCTGCAAGGTACTTCACCTTAGAGATCCCAGGAGTGAGGTGGAGACATCCAGAGGGAAAAATAACCTTTACGGAGTCACCAACTCTGTCAAGCACTTTATGTGCAGTTTCACCGTAGAATGAGACACTATTATTTCCGTTTCATACATAAGCAAACTGAGACCTGGGAAGGTCTCAGTCTCACAGCTGGTAAGTAGAAAAGCTGGGATTTGAACTTGGGTCTCATAGCTCCACAGCAGCCTAAATTCCTTCTTCCTAAACCTTTCCAGTGCAAACATCCCCAGATCCCTTCATCCTCCTATCTAAGGCTTCCACCTGTCTTTTCTCCCTGGGGTTAAACATTGCTTTCAGATCCCCCAGCCAGTGGGAAAGGTCTCTTTTCTTTGCAATGCTCCCCTTCAGCCAGCAGGTGTCAGTCCTGGACTGAGTATGTGGATAAGGGGCGTACAAAGCTAATGAGAAGAACATAATCTTTTGTTTTCCCCTCCTGGTTTTACAGCCCTTCTCTCCCTCCCAAATTCTAGCTATCCTGTTAGGCATGCTTTTGCTGAGCTGGTGCTATTTGTTACCTCACAATCTTCCAGGTTGGGATGCCCCAGGAATTCCGAATCCCCTAAAGCCATCGGGGTAGACTTGGAAGTAAGCTGCAGCTGTAGTTTACATTTGCCAAGTATATGCTTGGCACCCTGTTCCGAGCTTTCTGTGCTTTACCTTGTTCAGTCCTCCCCATCCCCACAAACCTCTCTGGGTTAGGTGCTAGCAATTCACCCATTTTCTCAGAAGAGGAAACTGGAGCTTTCAGAGGCTAAGAAAGTTGGCTGAGGTCAAGTTGCTGGGTAGGTAGCAGAGCCAGGCTTGAAGCTAGAAGCTCTGGCTACAGAGCTGCGGCAGCGCATGGCCATTACACTCTCGTTTATGCAGATGAGGAAACTGACGTCTGGGCAAGGAAGGGACTTACTCCTGTGGAACCAGTGCCAGCATGAGAACCCAGGCCTGGTTGTAATTCTGGGCCTTCTCTAATTCTTGCCCTTGCCCAGCTGTGGATGAGGGCTTGGGCAGCGGGGAGTCCCTGAGGAGGCTCCCCACCTCCTCACCCTCCCCAGGCACCAGCACATCGACCAGACAAAGGATAATTGGTGCATGCTGTGCTCAGAGCCAAGCTGAAGGCGGCAGGGTCTCGACACCCCTTCATGCCCAGGGAGTGTGGCATTGCAGAGCAGGGACCTTGTCGGTCCTGTCACCATGCATCGCCAGCTCCTTGCAGGGTCTGGCATGGAGGTGGTGCTCAGTTAATATTTATGCGTATGTGGACATTCCTCCTCTTTGGCTATCTCCCCAGGCCCTGCTCCAGGCTTGCCACAGGAGAGCATACCTGGCCCTGAGTCAGCACATTCCTCCTCTTTGGGGCCCTCTAGCCTTGCTTGGGGGCAACTCATTTGGTTTCTTAGCATGAACTGCTTGTTCTCCAACTTTCCAGATGGGTCTTTTATCTATCCTGCCTCCACTCCAGACGGCAAGACCTTGGGGGCAACCTCTCAGATCGCCTTATATGCTGCCTGGTGTCTAGCACAAGATGGAATATAACGTAAGGTATTTATGAAAAACTATAATCCACTATTTTATCCAAGCAGTACACATTCATTGTTGCAAAATGGAAAATAAGCCGAGGGAGGAAAATTAAAATCATTCCCATGATAATAGGATCCTTTCCTTCTATGATATTTTAATAGAATTGATTTTTTTCCCTTTCTCTTTTTATTGTATAAGAAATATATCTCTTGTACAAGTGTAAAAATTACAGGTAAGCATAAGCAAAAATGTTTTAATTTATTGGGAATACCACTTTCTAAACCTGTTAATAATTCCATTAACAATTGTAATGGTAATAACCACCTCTATTTGTTGAGGGCCTACTATTTAATAGCAGTTTTACATAATTTTTTAGAAGTTTATTGAGGTGTAATTTCTATGTATAAAATCCATCCATTTTAATTCCTTAATCATTTCAATTCACAGATTTTTTTAGTGAGTTTAAAAAGTTTTGCAACCATCAGCATAGTCCAGTTTTAGAATATTTCTATCATCCTAGTAAAACCCCTTAGGCTCATTTACAGTTAATCCCAGTTCCTACGCTCAGCCCCAGGGGGCCATTAATCTATTTTCTGTCTCTGCAGTTTTGCCTTTTCTGGACATTTCATATAAATGGAATAACACACTAGATGGTTCTTTGTGTTTGACCTGTACACTGATGTTTTTAGG